CTTAAAAGCTGTAAGCGTCTGGATAGAGCCCTGTGGGATGTTCTTTGTAAGGGCCCTGGCTCCTTCTGGGGTGATCCCTCTAAGGACTTTATTTTGGTGGCAGGCATCTCAGCTGGGAACTTTTATTTCTTCCATGTCCGAATCAGAAGCTATTGACTGCGAACTGTATAATGGACTCAAAATTGAATGAACTAGAATTCCAAGTTGAGAACGGCTCAGGGGATATGACTTTTCCTGTGTTATGTGCCTTTTAAGATTTTTTCCACCTCTTTGCTAATTATCAATATGTATAGTGCCTGTCTGAGGAAACCATGGATTATATTTGTTACCGCTTACAACGTTTTTATTAGGTCTTTCTTTGGCACAGGATGAAGATGGCCTTTACAGTGTCTTGCCTTGTTCTTTCCTCTTCTCCAGGCCTTCACAGTGTCTTCCAGGCATCTAAGGCTCACTGCTTGGCTTTAAACATTTTTAATATGAAAAAACCCTTTTTTCATTTAGAAAATTGTGGTAAAATGCATAATGTAAAATGTACCATTTTAATCTTCTGTATATGCAAGAGAAAGGTGCCAGGGACTGAACTGAGGGCCTTCACACTGAGCTACATCAACCCTTTGTTGTTGTTGTTGTTGTTATTACTAATATTATTTATTTTGAGACAGAGTCTTGCCAAGCTACCTGTGCTGGGCTTGACTTGAGATCTTTTTGCCTCAGCTTCACAGAGGTGGGATGACAGGTGTGCTCCAACTCATTGTAACCATTTTAAAACATATTCACATTGACTTTTCCATCTTCCCTGGCTTAGCCAGCCTTTCGTCTCTGTGACAGAAACACCCAACAGCACAATTTAAGAGAAGACTGGTCTGTCTGGCTCCCAGCTGTGGAAGATGTGTTCAGTGGCCAGCTGTTCCAAGGAGGAGACAGTGTGGCAGAAGATCGCTGCTCGCCTCCTGGCAGGCAGGACATGGAGTGCAGGGCTAGGGGCCAGCTGTGGTCCCCAAGGTCGTGCCCTTCCATGCGGCCCAGCCTCCTGTCCCTGTTACCACGCATGTCTGCATCCTAGCAATCCCACACCGAAGCACTCTCTCTAAAGCAGCCACTGTCTGCTTCCACCTCTCTACTGCCTGCAGTCACTTCTGCTCTGCTTCCTGTGCCTGTGAGAGTGTGGCTGCCCTGGAACTTCACCCTCTGCCATGCTGTTTGGTCCTCGGAACAGCAGCTGATCATTGACCAGGTCCTCCACAGCTGTGAGCCAGACGGACCACCCCTCCCTTAAACTGCACTGTGGGGCATTCTCTCAGAGAGAGAGATTGCCCTAGTTACGCAAGGTGGCCTTTCAGGATTGGCTTATTCTGCTCAGCACAGAGTCCTTGAGGTCCATCCACATTTTATCAGGAGCCAGCAGGCTTTTTCCTGGCTGCATAACATTTCATCATGTTGATAGATAACATTTTCTTTGTTCTTTCTCGTTACTGAGTCTTGAAGAAGACACTTCTGTTTTTACTCTGTCATTGCCCAGATCCCTTTCTGTAATGGACTCAGTGTGCCCCACTTCATATGTCGGAAGCCTGTGTGTGGTGTGGTTGGAGGCGTGCATGGGGACATTGGATTCTGAGAGCTGTCTGATGGCATTGGTGCCTTTAGAGAGAGGGAAGCCTGATAGCACTCTTCTTTGGATCTCTTCCTGTCCTCCGAAGTGTCACAGCATGTGAGGAAACTGGGCTTCTGAGTGGTTAGGACAAGACCCTTGGTTCTGGGCCCCGTGGCATGTGAGGACCATGGCTCCCTGGAGCCGCAGCTCTGTCCCTGCAGCGCACACCCGGAGCATGGTGCGCGCACATGGGCTTTCCTCCTGGACAAGAGAATGAGGGCTCGAGCCCCTGTAGACTGCCACCTGTCAATCCTGAGAGAGCAGTGAGGGTCATCTCCTCCAGGGCCTCCTTTCTCAGCTCTGTTTGACTTGCTAACTGTGGGTCCCTCGGAGCAGGGCTTTTCTTCTCCTTTGCATTTTGTAAAGGTTTTATTTTGTTTCTGCAGCCACTTTTTTTAAGCTAATGAAACCACATCCTTAAAATACTTGGGAGCCCGAGCTGGGGCCTGCAGGGAGTCCAGCACTCTCCCAAATGTCCCCAGCCTTCCACCCCCCCACACACACACTTGTGGGCAGAGCCACCCTGCTGTCGCAGCTGAGGATGCACCTTGCAGGGGAGAAGGGCCTGTGCGCTGCCCTTGTGTTTGCGCCGGGAGCCTGCAGCATCCACCGGGCTTCCACATGGCTGTTCCTGGCCAGCAGGGTACCAGCAGCCAGGGTACCCACCAAAGTGAGGCCTACGGCCGAGTGCCACAGTGTCACCACTTGGCAGTGACACCTGGAGCAGAGGAGCCAGAACACCACAGTAGGCTGCTCTCCTATCCACCGAACCAGTTGTGACAATGCCTGGTGGCAAGCAGATGTCACCACATCCTTTCCAGGGAATGACCCATGTTCACTGGGCTCCCACATCTCCTCAGGTGGCTTCTGCTTTCTGTAGCGGCTGCTGGTCCTTCTGGCTGGTAGTGCTGTGGCCACAGAGTCCCTCACCCTGGGGAGACCAGGAGCTGGGACCCGAATGACCGTACAGACGGCACTTGGTGGGCGCTGTGGACACAGAACCTGCTGTACTGGGAAGGGCCAATCCGGCCTGTGCTGTGGACAAGGTGGCCAGACCTCGCTTGTTGAAAACTTCCCAAAAATTATAGGATAGACACTCGCTGGTTGCCTCTGTGTCTAGGAGAGTCACCGCAGTGCTCTGGAGCGTGTGCCAGGGGTTCTGTCCCCACACCGAGCCATGGGGTGACCAGGTGATGCGGTGAGTGCTAGTGTCTTTAAAAGCATTACAGTGAACACACGTGACTGTGAAGCCCCCTCGCCATCCTCCTTGCCCCTTCCTGCTGCAGCTGTGGAGTCCTCCTTGGGGTCTTCATGAGGTGTGATCAAAAACATGGTGAATGCTGCCACCCAGGGCCACCCACGGAAAGGTGGGCTCCTAAAAACACCCACCTGATGATTCAGGTTCCCTGGCCCTGTCACCTTGTGACCTCTTCCCCGAAGTCGAAAGGGCTGTGGAAGGGAAATGTAAAATGGGTTCAGGACAGAGGCAGCCAGGACAGCGCAACAAAAGACCCCGTTAGAGTTGCGCTGACCTTTCCAAACTGGACTTTGAGTGCGGTACTCTTTTCTGCCCATTTCAGTCAGCCCTCAGCTGAGTTTCCCCCAGCCCGTGCGGAGTGCAGCAGGAAGCCAGGAGCCTTCTGGCAGGCAGGCAGGCAGGCAGGCAGGCAGGCAGGCAGGCAGGCAGGCGTGGTCAGGCTGGGCCGACAGGAGGCGCTGGCCTCTGGCGGCTGTCTCCATGGCTGCGACTGGATGCCTAAGGAAGCATTTTGCACTGGGGCTTGGGGACCCTCCCCAGCCTTCTTACCTACGCAGGCGCCAGCCCATGAGCCCGGCTCCTTTCTACTTCCTCCATGCTGAGAATGGTGCTGCTGGGACCCTGGGCCTGGTGCACGTCTGTGTTTGGCCTGTTGCTGGTGCTGCGGTGCTGTGTGTGCAAACACGGACTGGGGGTTGGCCAGACACCCCTGGTCTCCTGGCTGGGGTGTCATAGTCAGACTGCTTCCAGTCTCTGTCCCTCGGCCCCAGTCCCTCAAGGGGCACCACTCGCGACCCTGGGGATCAAGTTCCACATTCAGACTGTGGCACTCTGTCCCATGTCTGTTCCATGGTGGCCCCAGCAGCCGGACACTGTCTGATGGCCAGCAGCGCCTTAGGAGGCGCCTCCTTCCTTCCCAGCCCCTCATGAGCTCTCTTCCAAGGTGTGACTGTCACTTGCCAGTGTTTCCCCTCGCAGCGGCTGTCCTTTCACTCTCCTGATGATGTCCTTTGAAGCTGTGACAGAACTTAGGTGTCCCTTTTTGGAGCTGTGTTTCAGTGGTAGAGCGTGGCTTTTGACAGTCTTCTCCTCCGGGCAGGGTTCCTGGCCGCGGGATGGCATTACAGTCCCATGCAGACACGCCCTGAACCATCCTCTCGTGCTTTCATCGTTTCCTCTTTCTTGGGAGCTCATTTCTAAGGCTGGCACTTAGAAATGCTTGAGACCAGCAAGTTGTCATTGGGCCACCACCCTGTCCTATAGGGGAGACAAGGAGGTGGCGCCCCTAGAGGGAAGCAGGGATTGGTGGTGCCGTCCTCAGGACTGTTGCCGCACGTGCGAGTGCCAGTCCCCTGCCCCGGTTCCTCACCAGGGTCCAACCTGGGGACACCTGCCTGGAGCTCAGAGAAAGCAGAGCTCAGGTCACTCAGCCAGAGTCTAAAGCTGGAAACCCAGTGACTAGACCTCTGTGGAGGAGCCCAGGGAAGCGCCCTGCCCTGACCGTGGGCGCCGTGGCCTGTGCTGCCCGGTGCCAAAGTCCCCTTCCGGTTCTGCTTTCATTGTCTCCTCCCAGACGCTTTTCGTGCCTGTGTCCACCTGTGTCTGTGTGTGTGCACCTGTGTACATGAGTGCGTGTGAGTAGTGCTGGGGACGGAACCCAGGCTTTCACACACAGCTCCAGCTCCAGAGCTTTTTAAAATTTTGAGCAAGGGTCTTGCAAGTTGCTCACACTAAGTTGCTCAAACTTGCAAGTTGCTCAAACCCGTGATTGTCCTGCCTCAGCTGAATAAAGACCATTCCTGTGACCCATCAGCAAGCACCCCCACACTGATGGGAGGCCTCGTAGCCCTGAGTGGTGGCTTGTGCCTGTCATCACAGCATGCAGGAGGCTGAGGCAGGAGGGGCCTCTGCTAGTTTGAGGCCAGCCTGGGCTACAGAGTGAGTACATGGTCAGCCTGAACTGCATGGTGAGACCCTGCCCTCAGAAAACAAATGAAAGTCGGCCTCGTTATAGCCTGTCACTAGCCTACTGTCATCCACTCTGCCAGGCCCTGAACTGACCGGGCACTGAGTGCTTCTGTCCCCCTCTAGGTGACGATGGCCGTGGTGTCAGCGACAACTCTGGATCCGGTGAGTGTCTGCATAGTGACCTTACTGCACAGATGAATGCAGGGCTCTGTGGTCACAGTGGGACAGGCTTGTTGTCCTCATGTCTGCCTTTTGTGCTTCTCAAAAGGGAAGTCACTCCATGAGGCTAGAGGCATGTGGTAGCCCCAAGGGGCACCGTGTCACTGTTCCCGGGCCAGGGCTGCAGGTGGGGGGGCAGGCTCCCGAGGAGCTGTGCTCTGGGCCTGAACCTGCGCCCCTCCATCCCCAGGCATGACCGTGGAGACAGGCACGATCGCCGGAATGGCCAGCGCGCTGGCTATGGCACTCATTGGCGCCGTGTCCAGCTACATCTCCTACCAGCAGAAGAAGTTCTGCTTCAGCATCCAGCGTGAGTGCCCGGGGCGGGGCAGGGTGGTGACCAGGACGGAAAGACACCGGGAGGTCTAGTGGACACAGCCCAGAGCACTGTCCAGAGAGCCAGGGCACCCACCCTTCGGGTCTCGAGCAGGCAGCCTCGCTTCCCCTCAGGCCCACGGTTTAATCCCTGGGTGTCAGGAGGGCCGAGGGGCAGGAACTTGGGAGCAGCCCAGCACTGCCCCCTCTGCGGCCGCCCCCCCTGCACCTGGCACCTGCTGGGCTGTGGGCTGTAGTCTGAGCAGCAGCAGAGGGCCGGAGAAGCTGTAATTACAGAGGCCAGGCCGGCTCTTGTGTCCCGTAGCCATCATCCCAAGCACTTCCTACAGGGGAGGCTGAGGCAAGAGAGTCACCATGAGCTCACGGCCAGCCTGGGCCACATAGTAAGCTGAAGGCCAGCACGGTGGGACCCTGACTCAAAAAACCAACAGAAAAGGGCAGGCACCCTGTCTCCGAGCGCCATACTAGGACGTCTGGCACAGTGTGTCCATATTGGCCAGGGCTACCCTCTGCCCAGGGTGGGGGCTGCTCTCGGCCCCAGGGTGTGCACTGGGCTAGCTGCAGGTGGTGCTTCTCTGCCACGGCTGCCTGCTCTTCCTACTGGGGAAAACCGGCTTGTGGGGTGCTCCCCTCCGCACTGTCCCCTGCCCGTGCCGGATCTGTGTGGCGGTGGGGCAGCCTAGCCCAGGGCAGAGGACAGAGAGGAGTCAGGCTGTCTCTGGCCTCCTCCTGTGCACACCAGGGCTCTGTCTCTCAGGGGTGGCACTCCTCCTGGGAGCCCTCCAGTCGCCGCCAGCCGAAGCTGCCTGGGACAGCAGCCTGCCTCTGCTGACCTGCTGCGGGCGGGGAGGAAGTGAAGTCCTGGGCTGGGGCAGAGGTGAAGGTTACCCAGAGGACACCACTCCCAGAGGACTGACTGACAGGCTGCTCAAACACCACTTAACCAGTAACAGAATGGATTGTCAGCGGTCCTGGCAAGGTCCCCACCTTGTGACCTCCAGGGCTGGTGGGAGGTGTCGCCTGGCCACCCATCTGCCCACGAGCACCTACTTGCACAGCCTTCTAGTAACCGCCCTGTGAAAGAAAACTGTCACAAGGTTGTGCAGGCCATCTGCCACCAGGGAGTCCCCAGGGCCACTGTCCTGCCCGCTGCCCTCCAGGGAGCCGCCTCACTTCCCCTCCTGGCTCCCAGTGGCCCTGGCCATGGCGCCTGCAATCTCTAAAGCCTTCATGAGCTGGGGTTCAGGGCCCTGGGCCCCAGCAGCGGGGGACAGCCCGGTGGAGCCACAGCCACACGTCCCTCCACGTCCCCCACATCCCCCCACAGTACCCCCATGTCCCCTCTGGAGGGCCAGTGGGTTGCCTCAGAGACGAAGAGCCAGGGCAAGGCCATAGGGGCCACACCGTGCACCTGGGGCTAGGGTGGCTGGTGGCCAAGGGGACTCCAGCGAGACAGGCCCTCCGCGCCCTCCTCGCACTGCACGGGGCGCCGGGCAGGCAGGCTTTTTTTTGCCTGCTCCGGCAGGGAACAGTGTTGGCGGGGCTGACGGCAAGCTCCTGGGGTCCCTGTCTCTCGTGCCTCCTGCCCCAACATTCCGGTCGTTTTAGGCACGCCCCCGCCCTCCCTGCTCTTCCTTTTCCCCCCCGCACTTCATCCCCCCCCCCCCACAAGTGCCCAGAGCCCTTTGGGTCCTGCTGCGTGGCCAGACTTCTTCGGGCTCCCCTCCCCTTCCTCTGCTCCCCTCTTCCTCTCCTCTCCTTGCCCCTGCCGCTGGAGGGTTTCCCGCCAGCTTTTGCGCGCAGCCACAGCGCCCCGTGCCGTCCCACTGGGGCTCTGCGCCGCACCTCAACCCTGGACTCCGTGGGCCCGGGCCATGGCTTGGTGTGCACCAATGTGCACCCGCGTCCCCGGTACCTAGTTGAGGCCGGGATCAGGAGGGTCCCTGGGGCGCCTGAGGGCCGGGCGGCCGGGTCCCCAGTTCCTGCGCCGGTGCGTGCGGGTCAGGGAGGCCCGGGGTGGGGGGTGGAGGGCGTGGTCCAGCCCCTGCAGCTGTGACCCTTGGGTGCCCAGTGGCCTCTGCCTGTGCGCGGGGGCCCTCCGGTGCGGGGTCTAAGCCCCGTGTTTTGCCTTCAGATGCAGCAGAAGGTCAAGGTAACGCACGCCGCACGCCGCGCAGTGGCCTCCCCACAGCCCCCATCCCACGCTTGTCACCTTCCCTGTGTCTTTCCCTGCACTTGCCTGTCCCTGCACGCCGCCTTTCCAGCTTCCAGCTAGGCCCGCCCTCCCAGCGCTGGGGCCCAGGGGGCTAGTACAGAGGGGAGGCGGGCAGGGCCCCATGGCCAGATGGCAGTGACTCCCTCTGGGGTAGTGGCTCGCTGGGACCCAGGGCCACCCAGGGCCGGCTGCCCAGAGCAGCAGAAGGGCAGCATGGGTGTGAGGAAGGCGCCTTGGCCCGGTGCGGTTCTCTCTGAGCAGCCATCCCTGGCCCTGCACCCTGGGCCTGGCTGGGGATGGTGACAGCCCCTCACACCAAGAGAAGCCACTGGTGCCCATGCTGTACGGCTGGGCAGGCCACCGGGACAAGAGGATGCTGACGTTTGCACTGCGACTCCATGGCCCCCACGCCTCTCTGCCTGCCTCCATTCATCGTCACTCCCCTCCCCAGCCCTGCGCCGCAGGTGCCCTCATCTGCTGGTGGGAGCTGCCATCTCAGCATGGCACAGCCGCTGAACAGGGGCGGGTGACAGGGCCCTTTGATGCATGCATTGTTGTCCAGTGACAGTTGGGGTAGCCCTCGGGCAGAGCAGGGCCAGGACATCCTGACTTTGAGCGGGGACTCAGCTGACCTGGGCACAGGGGTTGGGTGACAGGCTCTGCTGGGCCTGTGCCTGCCACCCCGCCGACTGTGCCTGTCCTTTCAGATGGGCTCAACTCGGACTACGAGAGGGGACAGAACCTGGAGGCTGTGGTGTGCCAGGAGCCAAAAGGTGAGGAAGGGGGCAGCACCCCCGCACTAGCCAGCCTGGGCCCGGGGAGGCCGGGAGGAACTCAGGACTCTGGCACTGCCCAGCCTCTGCCTGTGGTCCACCTGACCCTGCACACCCTTCAGCACACCAGAATGCCTCCTGCTTCGGCCACTTCCCCTGCTGCTTGGTTTCATCCCCCCCCCCCCCGAGTTCCTCGGCAGTGCTTACTGTCTACACAGATGTGTGGGTGTCACTGTCACAGATCTATACGAAGTTCACAATAGCCAGGACGTGGAGTCAGGCTAGGTGCCCAGCACTGGTGACAGGATAAGGAAACTGGTTCACACGCACCATGGAGTACTACTCAGTCACAAAGGAGTGAAATCCTGTCAGGTGCAGGATAAGGGATGGGTTGGGAGGTGGCCATGCTGAGGAAAACAAGCTAGATGAGAAAGACCAGTGGTGCACATTCTCTCTGACAGGAAGCAGAGGGGAGACTACTAGATGGGTCAGAGTCACAAGCAGCAGCCACCTCCATGGGGCTCTGCACCCTGTGCTGGGAAGTGGGGGGGGGGGACTGGGCTGCGCACGCTGCTCAGAACACTCACCCGGTGCCGCCACAAGTGCCCGAAGCAGCTGCCGGCCCAGTAGGGCTGTGTTCACTGTCAGCCTCTAACCCTGGGCATCTCATATGCGGCTCCACACCACATGCGCATGGCCCTCCCTGCGGTCCCAATCCCCGAGTCCTGGGCGTGAAGTCGTTCTACAGTGATGACACCGCCTGGCGGGCAGCACAGGGCAGGGTGCCGCTTGGTGGCACAGAATGAGGCTCGGAGAGAAGTCTAGGCACGTGAGCTGGGTGGGAGTGCCTGGCCGCAGGCCAGGAGCTTGCAGTGAAGGAGCTGGGCATCAGCAGGGTACTCCTGGGAGGCTGGCGTCGCTTTAGGGTGCAGGCACAGGCCTGGCAGACAGGCAGGGCCTTGGGGGACACAACCCCACTGCACAAAATGTAATGCCAAGAATCACTGAATGCGACCAGGTCAAGTGACAGACCTTTGGCACTGCAAGGGGGACACTGCAGAGTGAGCAGACAGCCTGCAGAATAGGGGACACTGCCAGTGCCACCCCAGCCAGAGGAGGCTATCTAGACTAGGCCAAAAGCACTGGAGAACTGGACCCCCCAAAAGCTACCAAAGTGGGTGCTGCCTGGCATCCCTGGCCAGAGTGCGGGTCCCTCTTCACTGAGGTCTGTGGGCAATCCTTGGTTTAGGGGGGCAAGAGGGTACTGGGGACACCCCGTGGGCCAGGCTCCCAAACACTAATGCGGCCCCTCTCTCCCCGCAGTGGAGTACTCCGCACTGCAGAGCCAGGCTGCTGAGCCGCCCTGTATCTGAGCTCCGCCTCCGCGGCCCGCGGCCCCATGGCCCCTCCGCCTCTGCGCTGCGCTCCCTGTGTCACTGGCTTCTTGTCGCTCCTAGTTCTCTAGACAAGCTTCATGTGTTCGTGAGTGTGGTCCCCACGCACGTCCTCGTGGTCCTGTGGAGACGTGGTGCCCACGACCGGCCCAAAGGGCGGCCCCCTGCCAGGCTGGGCGTGGCTCCCTGAAGCCAGACTCAGGCTGGCGCTGGTGGGCCCCGACGGGGCGGGGCGGACACTGCCTTGCCTTGCCGGGACCCCAGCCCATGCGCTTCGGGAGGGAGGGGGTGTCTTCAGTTCCCCAGGCTGTTGCTGGCCCAGGTGTGGACCTTCGATCGCCCTCCGGCTCTAGTGAAGCTGGCTGGGGACCCCCCAAGCTGGCCAGGAGCCACTCCACTTGGGCTGGAGCAGAGCAGGTGTCCAAGGGGTCCCCAAGTGTCAACCCCAGGTTCCGGGGTCACAGGGCTGGAGGGAACGCATCACTTCACAGGCCACGGGCTGGGCGACTGCTTCCTGCCACCCTGCGCTGGGACAAGGCCAATTCCCCGTTTGTTTGTTTTTTTTAAAGAAAACCAATGACCCCCTAACAGCCCCGTGCTGTGTACTGCATGCTGTGTGTGCGCGCGCGCGTTTGTGGTTTTCAAGCCCCACGGTGGAGGCCGTCGGGCACTGTCTTCTCTGGAGGGGATGAGACCCCAGACCGCAGGTCTGGAGGGGCTGCGGCGCCAGAGGAGGGGACATGTAGCCCAGAAACCCTGTCTTGAGGAGCTGTGTGGCCCAGAAGGGTCGGACCTGTCCCCAGGCCGCGTGGCTGCGGGGCACTGGCACCTGGATGGCAGAGGCTGTGGCCTCAGAGGCCCGCAGCCACGTGTAAAGTAAACGTTCTTTGCGAAAACATTTTCTGGGTAGCACTGACTTCAGTGGCCGGCAGCCCACTCTCCTTTAGCTACCTTGGTGCCTTCTGCATAAGCCCTTCTGCATAAAACCCATCACTCGGCCCGCAGGCGCTGGCTCCTAGCACCAGGCCAGGCCCGGGCCGCCCCCAGCCTCCGGTTCGCAGTCTCACCCCAGGGGCTCCCTTTCCACTGTCACCTCACCCTTGCTCGGGTGCTGTGGCCAACACAGGCCTGGCGGCCCCCTCCTCACTGTGTCCACTCGAAGGTTCCTCGGCCAGCGTGGGCTGCCTGGGCGGAGGGCAGCCACCAGCCAGGGGACGCCCGCTGGCTCTGGCGGTGCCTGGGGGAGCGCTCTTGGGTGCGGCGGGCCCAGCTCCATGAGGAAGACGTATTGGAGACCAACCTCTGACCTGTCCCCCCATCTGTGCTGTGTCCCCGTGTGAACTGTAAACTGTCGTGTCTGCATTAAATCACATGGAACTTGGCCAGACTCCTGTGCTCCATGGGGCGGGAGGCTGCGCTTCTTGCAGGAACAGCTCTGGAGTGGGGCTCCTGGGCAGTCGCCCCATCAGCCTGCTAGGCTCACCAGCTTTGTGGCCGGAGTGATGACACCGGTGACGGTCCCTGTTCATACCCGAGAGTCAGAGAGAGAGGGTTGGGGTCCCCAGGCCCACGTGAGAAGGGTGGGGGCTGGGGTGCCTTGGGGGGCATCCTTCCCAAGATCCCTGGGGCCTCCTCTGGGTTACAGACTAGGCTTGCCAGGATTGCAGATCGGCACTCACCTGTTCCAGCCACACCCTCGCCACTGGTGACAAACTGCATGCAAGACCAGTTACCTTGTCATTACCTGTTTTCCCCCAAGGGAAAAGCCATGGAAACTTGAAAGAGCAACAACCAGAGGACTCGGGAGCAACCGCTGCCATTTTACTTAGGGGGGAAAGACAGTGCACCGGGTGACAACACACAACATGGGCCTGGCACGTACAAGCCTGAGGGGCCACCTTCAGACAGGGAGCAAAGAGGAGCGCAGCCGCAGAGGCACACTACCCTGTGGGCAGCCACCCGGCCCCTCAGGCTGGCCCCGGGTGGCACGGCCCGTCAGGGTCGGCACCAGTGCAGGGGACCCTGACTGGGACAGGGCCTTGCTGGTAGAAGGGAATACGCTGAGCATCTCTGGTAGTGAACAGGGCAATTTTCCCGAAAAATTCGAAGTTTCCAGGTTGAAATAACATCTGTCCTCTGTGGGTTTGACCATAGAAAACTTTGCTGACCAATCTAGTTGCAAAAAACCGCGTGGGACCTTGTGGCGTATTCAGAAGCAGACGACGGCCCCTGGCGGTGGCGTCAGTCCCTGTGCTATGCCCCGAAGCCAGGGCCCTGCACTCGGGCCACCAGGCAAGGCGAAGCTGAGTCCTCAGGTTCCCCGTGACAGGGCTGGCACTGGGCTCAGGGCCATCTCGAGGACAGTGACAGGCTGCTGCACAAGCAGCCATGGCCAAGTTCCATGTCACACAGGCGCAGAAAGACTGCCCGTCACAGAAGAGGAAGCAGGCGCCTCTGCTGGCGACTTCTGAACATGGAAAAGGACATAGGAAAATAAAGGCCTGTTTCTCTGTTTAAAAAATACCTCCTATGTACAGGGCAGCGGGCCGGCGGGTGCTCCTGCAGCAGGGCCACCGGCGAGATGCAATTCTGCCAGGATGACCTTGGACGGCAATGGTACGAGATGTCCCCAAGCCCAGGACAAGGAAGGTGGGTCACGGGGCGGCCGTGGCCGCTGACGGGTGATGCTGTTCACCAGAGGGAAGCCACAGTGGGCCAGCCCAGGCCTGCTGCTCCCAGAAGTGGGTCCTGTGGTCCTGAGCTCCCAGGAGACAGTGGCTCACCCATCACACTGAGGTATGGACTGGGGTGGCTGAGTGCGACGGTGACGAGCCCCGCTCGGAGGATGATGAGACGGCACGCGCAGCCACCTCCCGCTGCAGGTCCTCCACGCGCTTCTGCAGCTCGGCCCTGACGGCAAGTAGCTCCTTGAGGGTCTGGTGGGTGGGAATCTGTGGCGGGGGGGGGGGGCAGGCATAGTCAGCGGCCACCAGGTACATGGTGACCCAGTCCCGCCCCTGCAGCGCCCCAGGGTGTATGTATCAGGGACAGCGGTGGAGGAAAGCACAGGGCCTGGCGGTCACTTGCCCCTTGAATGCTGTGGCCAGCTGTGAGGCTCAGAGGGACGCCCAGGGAGCTCAGGAGGACCCTGCTGCCCTCCTCCCGCTGCTCCTGCGCCCCACTTCTCGCCCCAGCTCAGCACACCCCTGTCAGCCAGCCCTGGTCCCGCCAACCTTCCCGCTGCTTCGCCTGTCCATGGCCCTAGGAATGGGCCAGTGTTTGCGCCCGACTGCTAGTGCCACCCTCCTGTCACAGTGCTCTGTGTCACACTTGCCCCCTCCCTAGGCCTCTGAGAGATCAGAGCCATCTGTCCTGCAGGCCCAGGCCCTCCCACATGGCGCCCCCGCACAGAGCACTCCAGCCAGCTTTCCTGCTCTTCAAGGGTTCCAACTCCGTCCCGGGCCGCCCCCCCAGACCACTCAGTGACTCCTACAGCACTTCGTCCCTCCCTGGCCCATCATCCTGCGGCTCAAAGGTGGGGGTGGGGGGAGACTGCAGGGGGAGCCCGCAGCCAGGGCAGAGCAGGGCGCTGGGGGAGGGACCTTGCGGTGGACCAGAAAGAGGCCTGCTGCTGCTGCTGCAGGAAGCTGCCAGCATGGGGCTGGGGCCAGGCCCGGGGGAGGGTGAGGACTGCAGCTTGGGGCAGGAGAGGGGCCAGCAGGGAGCAGGGGCTGGGCTCAGAGAACACTGGGGTCCCAAGGGAGGCATGGCCACCTGGAGGGCCTGCAGGATGGGTGGCAAAGCACGGAGTGCGAGGTGCAAACAGCTGTGGGGCGGCAGGGTGCCGGCGGCGCCAGCTCTTTCCAGCCACTGTGGGGCTCAGTGGTGGCCACCAAGAGTTTCGGAAAGGGGCCAGCCAGGATGTCCCAACCGGCGGAGGGCTGGGCTGGGCTGGGGAGGAGAACACGGAGGAAAGGCAGCTGGAGCTCTGGCCTGCAGACACAGTGCTGCTCCACGGTGGCAGTGCAGCCTGGTGACCCCGGGGAGGGGCCCAGGGCAGGATGCAGAGGGCCGCCCCGCCCACACGGAGGGGACCGGTTGGGAGCAGGCCAGCTCAAGCCTCCCTTGCAGCACGGTCCCCGCAGTGTGGCATCTGAGCCGCAGGGTGCCACTGTGTCCCTGGCCAGCAAGGGAGACCACCCTGGGACGGACAAGCAGCAAAGTACCTGTGGCCTCATCCGGGGGTTCCACCGCACATAGTAGCTCACCCACAGCTCCAGGTGACTCACGCTGGCAACCGGGTACAACACGTGGTTTTCGTAATTCACAAAGAAGGGATTCGAAAATTCATCGAGCTGGCTATTGATGTAAGACCACAGCGATACAGTCTTTGAAGATAAATCCTGCAAAACAGAGACGAAGGCTGTGGAATAAACACTCTCTTCACAGCTCCGTGGACTCGAGTCACAGACAGGGAATGAGCTGGACGTGCGGCCAGCTCTCCCACCCCACCCCGGCTGGCAGGACAAGCACTGGGAACCGTCCTGGAGAAGTACTGCATGCCCAGCGACATCCGGCCCCCGGGGTGTGGGAGGCAGAAGGCGATCACCGCTGCCCCAGCGAGGGACACACGCAGTCTAGCTGCGCCTGCTTTGCGCCTGTCCACACTGGGAAATGAGGCAGACTTTCCAACCGCGACTGCTGCGGAGGAGCCCGGCTTGGCAGAAAGACCGCATGTGGGGGCTCTGCCCTCAGCGCTCCTGGGGAGACCTGCGGGCCCAGACGCCGGCTGGGTCCCTGCACTCCCCTGCTGCCCGCACGCTGCCCGCGGGTAGGACCGCTCCGTGTTTGTCTGTTTCAGCTTAGGAGAGGCACCGCCAGGGGCTCCAAGAAGCCGGGAGGGTCGAGATAATCTTGAAAAAGGAAGAGAAAGCAGAAGACCCAGGCTCCTGACTTCAGCCCGCTCAGGGCTGTGCCAATGCACCCCAGCAGTGCGGCCTGGCAGTTGGGGGGTCACTGAGGCGCCACCGCCCGGGTGGCAGTTCCCCAGCAGCCTCTCTGGCCAGCCTGGTAAGCGATGCGGAGCAGCGAAGCCAGACTCTCAGCGGGTCACAGAGCTAAGCGGAAGCACTGTGTCTCCGACATCTCGGAACAGACACAGGATCGAATCTGTGATCTTGGCCTCAGCAACAGTGTCTCAGGCAGGACAGTAAAAGCACAAGTAGTGAGAGAAAAACTGACTGGGCTTCCCCCAAAATCAGTTTGTTTCAGAGGACATCAAGACAGGGAGAAGACAACCCACAGAAAGGGGAAAATTGTGTAGCTTGCATCTTACAAAGCATTTGTATACCTGCGAAATGTGGAAGGAACTTCCAGAATTCAGTAAGAAAGAAAGAAAATCACCCAGTTACAAATGGGCAGAGGGTGTGAACACTCACTCTCCACAGAAGATACACCAACGGCTGATAAGCACACGGAAAGATCATGTTATTCATTAGGGAAGTGTGAATCATGTCACGGGCCACAAAATCACTGCTTAAAAATCGATAGCATTTCTATAAACCAATAATGAATCCACTGAAAAGGAAATCAAGAAACAGTTCTGTTCACAGCCCAGATGCCCATCAATGGATCCAAAAGAAAGTACGGGTTTTATATGCAATGGAGTACTCCTCTGCCCCAAAGAAGGATAAATACTTTAGGGAAAGGATGCACCTTGAGACCATCCTTCACAGTGAAATAAATCAGACACTCATGTTTACATATCATATTGGTTCTCTGCTGTAAGAAACCAGAAGGGTCAATAAGGATCAAAATGGATGACAGCTACTGGGAAATAGGAAGAAAATGGTCTCACAGGAAAGGTAGCAAGGGTGAGGTGGGGGAGAGGAACAAAAGAAAACAGAAGGAAAAAGTGGAAACAGCTTTTTATAAATGAGGGGAAGCAAGGTTGGAGGGAGGGCAGGGGGTGGGGGAAAAGAACCAAGTATATTATGTACAAGTACAAATTCCCTATAATGAATGTGGTCATTATGTACATCAATAGTGTACCGATAAAATGAATTTATAAAAAAAAACAATTCCATTCACAATACCTTTAAAAAATAAAAATAAAATATCCAGGGATTGACTTAACCAGGGAGGTGAAAGATCCCTACAGTGCGAATTTCAGAACACCAAAGAAAGCAAGTGAAGAAGCCATCAGAAGATGGAAAGACCTCCCAGGTTCAGGGATTGGCAGAATTAATAGCGTGAAAATGCCATATTACCAAAGGTGATCTACAGATTCACTGCAATCCACATCAAAATACCAATGGCATTCTTCACAGAACCAGGAAAAGGCCAGCGTGGTGGCACATGCCGATAATCCCCACACCTGGGTGGCTGAGGCAGGAGAATCACCATGAGTTCAAGGCCAGCCTGGGCTATCAAAATTCAACCCCAGCCTGAACTGCATAGCAAAAGCCACCTCAAAAAAAAAATTCTAAAATTCGTGTGAAAACACAAAAGATCCAGGACAGCTGAAGCAAACCTAAGCAAAAAGCACAAGGCTGGAAGCAGCACGATACCTGCTTTCAAATTGCACTATAGAGCCACGATAAAACAGAACAACACACAATTCCACAGCTTGCACGTGTGCGCGCACACGCACACACACAAAGAACAGAACAGAGGACAGAGACAAAGCCACACGGCCACCATCATCTGACTGTGGACAAAGGAGCCAGAAACCCACACTGGCAGAATGGTTCTGGGGAAGCCGATATCCACATGGAGAAGACGGAGATACATGGATTTCTGTCATTCACTCTGTGCAGAAAATCAATTCCAACCAGACTGAAGACTTAGACCAGCCTGGAACCCTTGAAACTGCCAGGAGATAACAGGGGAGACACCTAGTGCCACAGGCCCGGGCAAGACCGCCCTAACCAGGACTCCGACGGCCCGGGAGACGGCAGGACTCAGCCGACGGGGCAGGGCATGGGAGAAAGCAGCGCGGCAAGGGGACCGCTAACACCCCTGCCGCACAGCGCAGCTCAGGGCTCGCCAGGGCCCCGGGAACGAAGAGCGACTGGTAATGATCTGGGGTTTCTTCTGCGGGGGACGAAGATTTTCTGAAATTAGATACTGGTGGTGGCACAAAATCTGCCACACCCTACATCCACTACACTGTACACATTTGATTTTATCTGTCTTGAAGACGGGGTCTCACCACACTGCCGGGGTGAGTCTGGCCTGACCGTGTGGACTCAAGCAGTCTTCCCGCCTCGGCCTCCTGAGTAACGGGGCTGTGAGCAGCACCCCTGTGCCTGACCGGTGGCTCAACTTCACGGTATACAAACTGTCTCAAGAGCTGACTTTCTCTTTTTTCTCTTCCCTAAGAGTACAGGTTGGCCTTGATCTCAGGATGACCTTTGTGCCTCAGGCTCCCAAGTGTTGGGATTCTAAACACCCACCACACCCAGAAAGAGCCATCTTTTAAATGGAGTTTAAATCTTGTACCCAAGACCACATAAGCCCATAGTTTAGCATCGCTTTCATTAGTTTAGTTAGTGCCCGCTGGTACACTGGAGAATGGGTTCTGCCTAGAAGAGTCACAGTGCAGGTGACATACTCTGCCTGCCCCCCATCACTCTCCTCTCCTTGCACCCCTTAGCTCTTCCTTGCTAAGTCTCCCTCCTCCAAGGTTTACTTCTAATATGTGAACTTTGTTCTTCCACTGTTTTTTTGTTTATTCTAAGTACCTTTATTTAGATACAATTCACAAACCGCAAAATTTAATTTTTTCCTTTTCATGAGGAAGTCAGTCAGGGAAGCGTGGATTGTGTCCCACTCCCTGGAGAGCCGGGCTCACAGGCTCTGGGCCTGGAAAGACAGGCGTGCGGGGCTGCCGGAGGCCTGGGAGGACATCTTGTGCCACGCCCTGCTTCTGAGAGCAGCAGTGCGGATGCCAGGCCTTCCCTCCACCCGCCTGAACACGGGAGAGGCAGACACTACTCACCTCTTTGACTCGCTCTTGTTCACAGTTGCACAAAAACGTCCCAAAGAGACAGCTATAAAGGTGATCCAAAATTGTAATCAAGAATAGTTCATTAAACTCGAATGCTGAGGGAAACTTAATGGAGAGAAAAACAAAGTTTAGTTTTAAAGTCCAGTTTCGCAAACAAAGTAAGCACGTTTCTGTGAATGGCAGCTACCCTAGAGTCTGGAGTCCGCTCCAAGGCAGACTGAGCCCCGAGAGACGCATCTGTAGGTCCTGCAGCCGTCAGGGCTGGAACCCGCATCTCATCAGGCCGAGCAGAGCCCAGACTCACTCTGCCACCACAAACCCTAAGAAGGCTGATAAATATGCAGGGACTGTGCTCTGTATCCATGACAGGCAGCACAGGCTGCAACACCGAGAACGGGGAAATCAATCAGGGGAACACTATGTCTGTCCCACTTTCCTGCCTAGAGGCGCGGTGGCCACAGCACGAAAAGCAGCTGGAGCCCGAGCCACTCTACCCGTAACCGGCGGCCCAGGTTCTGGGTAGCCCAGGCAGGAGGTGGAAGTGTGACATGGCGGGTGAGGCTGGCCTCAGGAAGGCAAGGCTGGCTTAACATGTGATAATAAATCACAAGCTCAACCTTGGTAACTCACTATATACCTATAAGGAAGGGAGACCAGAGTGTCATCTGGGCTGGGTCGGGTAGCTTGTAACTGGGGTCCTGCAGACTTCGGTGCAGACTGAGCACCGGCAGCAGGCTCCGGTCAGCAGCTGGCACTCAGTGGCCAGGAGCCCCGTGGAAATAATGCAAATGACCCCAGTGGCAGGCAGGCGCTGTCACTTTACAACCCAGTGAACTATTCACCAGCCACTGAACAGGCAAGGCCAACCTGAGCAGAACGCAGAGGTCAGCCCAGTGCGTCTGCCTTTGAGTCGAGTCATACCAAAGACCTGGTCCAGCCAGAGTGTCACCTGCGCACTGGCATGACTAACCCGACACCTCTAAATGACAGCCAGGACTGGACAGAGGCAAGTTTGCTTTTTAGCTGAGCCTTCCCAATCCTCGATGAGCAGCTGGCTTTGCTGGGAGGAGAAGCGGGGCTGTCCTCACCCGGCTCTCATACTCACAGCCACACTGAGGAATACTGGGCCCCTCGCCTTCCTAGGGATTTGGCTCATAGAAACAGGCAACTCCCTCTCCTGTGGCTCACTTGCATAACACTGTCTCTGCAGACCTCTGGGACCAGCTGCGCTAATGTTCTCACTGGCTTTCTCATGCTTAGATGCCCTAGAGCAATGGTACGCTGTCTGCACACACAGTTCGAGCAGCCGCTGGCTGGCTTCCCGGCCTCTGAGCCTGCCCAGAAGCCGGGCTTGTAAAGGCCGGGTGCCCCGCGGCTGCCCTGCACTGCGTCCCCGCTGCCATTCATAAGACCCTTGGCACCATAGCGTTTATTAATTGTAAGCCAACAGATAATGCTTTCATAGACTGAAGATTTAAAAATCAAGCAAAGGGATGACAATGTAGAGTTTTGCCTTATATTCTATTTTCAAACATTTACTGACAAGTCAGCAAATTACTGACATATTTTTAACAGCATGAGTGCCATGGACTATTCGCGTCCCCCCCCAAATTCACATGTTGAAACCCTAAGTCAAGGTGATGGATGTATGAACAGAATCTCAGCTGTGAGAGGCACCTGAGCTGTTCCAATCTCTCTATCTTCTTCCTTAAAATCCAGTGAACAATAAATAGACATAAAAACAGGTGTTAAACAATGTAAAAGAATGGAAATGAGTTTGAAGGTGCTCATTACACACCTACACACACGCCTGCTGCTTTTTTGTTTGAGACAAGGCTTTGCTATGTGGTTCAGGGTGGCCTAGAATTCACCAGGTAGCCCAAACTGGCCTCAAACTTGTGGCAAGCCTCCTGCCTCAGCCTCTTGCGTGCTGGGATTACAGGGGTGTGCCGCCACACCCGGCTATGCTGCCGCTTTTCTGCCTGCCACTCCTCTGGGTGTGTTTCCCCTCCACCACGCCACCCCTGCCTTGGAACCAGCTGGCTATGCGATGAAAGCTCTACAAACTGGTCTTCGCTAGCTCACTAAATTACCCAGGCTACCCTCAAAGTTGTGACCTTCCCGCTGTAGTTTCCCAGAGTGCCAGGATGATAGGCATGTACCTCTATGCCCCGCTCCCCCCTTTGGCTCATAATGAGCTGAGAAAAAGAAAAGCAGCGCCTTGCTATCTAGGGGCTGAGGTCTCTGCCGAGGTAGCCAGCTTAAAATGCGAGTGAGCCCTAATTCAGTATGAATGGTTCGCTTACATACAGCAATCGGGACGCGGGCCTAACTGCACAGAAACTGAGTACTGGGATGGACTTCTGGGGGACGGCAGTGTGGCCAACAGCAGAGAAACAGCCTCTTGGAGATGTGTCCAGGCACTGGAATACAGCAATGTGAGGAAGAGAAGGAGAGGCGTGGTCCCTGGAGATCTTCAGCAAGAATCTAAAGCAAGAATGAAGCCGACAGGGACAGCCAAGAGAGGGACCTACGTGCAGAAGAGGGAAGTGGCAGGCAGTGCTTTCTGAGCCCTGCTTTGCTGCTGGGAGGGACAGATCAAACCTACAGAGACACACAGTGACTCCTGGCGACCCCAGTGGATACAGCAGACTTCATTGGCTGGTGAATTATTTGGGTTCAGGTGTCTCCAGAAGCAGGCAACTGGCTGGTAGCCATCTTGGAGAGGAGCTCACTGGGCTTGGAGTGACAGTATCGGTGGGGTGGGGTGGCTCTAGCTAGCTGTGCCCAGTGTCAACGTGAGACGACTGGTTTCAGGCCAGCAGGGAACTGAATTCAAGCCGGCAGGAGGCACACAGTGTCACAGGCTGAACAAATGCGGTTCCGGCCTCACAGCCAGAGGAACTAAAGGCACAGGCTTGCTGGGATTATCCACTACCCCACCCCAAATCCATGGCTGGCTTGCTGGGATCAATCAACATGGATCTGAGGTCTGGCTGCCCACTTTGTCTACAAGTGACAGCAGAGACACACCCTGAAGTGGAATTTTTTCTTTTTTCTGGATCTTGTTTTTATATGAATATGAACATTTTTGTTTTCTGTTTTTGTTATTTATTTCTTCCTTCTCTTTCCCTCCTGTCTTCTTTACTGATTTCCCAAGATTCACATAATCCTTCTTTTTCCTATAGCCTTGCTTCTAACCTTTTCCTCTTCTTCCATTTGTCTATTTTTCCTCCAAACCTCTTTTAATTGTTCTTCCTCAAGGGTAAAATCACCACATTGAGGGCATATTTACTGTATACAATTCTTTGGTTTGTTGTAGATTTTGTTATGTTACCACAAATCTAGTTCACACGGTTAAAGGTAGCAAGTTGTTATCACAGTTTTGTCATTTTTTACGCTGTGTTTGATGCTATTGCTATTACCGATTGCACTACTTTAGCCAAGGTGATGTGACTGCTCCAACCAGCTCTTCTTCCTGGAATGCCAAGACTGAGACTGCCTAAGGGTCAAAAATGATACTGTAGGCCAGGGCCAAAGAACCAGGGGCTCGGACAAGTGGGCAGCACCTTCTCATCCCCAGAATACTGAGGATGTAGGATCTTGCAACAGACTCAAAACCCAAAGCCAGCTCCACCTGGAAGGCATCTCTGAGAAGTAGTCATTTCCAAGGGTTCTCAATACTAGCGATGAAGCTACGTCCTATAAGCAATTTACAAGCATCAATTCAGGAATTAAACTAAAAGTGTATACACACACACACCAAAGCATTTAGGAAGAATACACTACTTCACAACCACAAAAATGGCACTCACCTCATTTAGCGGCATTAAAATGGTTTTTATCTCATTAAAGGCATCAGAATTACTTTTCTGCATTCAGCCTTTTATGTAACTTTTCTAAAATGTGATTCCTATTTAGTCTGAAGGTAATAATCACTGAATTCTGTTACCGGGTAGCATCACTTCACACAGCTGGAAGTGTAGGAGCCGCAGAACACATGGGGCAGCCTTCTGAGCCTGTGTTGCTGTCACCTGGCACTCATGCAGGTGGCATGCCTCCCCTGGAGACCAGCCAGTTCCCTCCTATTTCCAGCCCACTGTGACCTAGCGCTCAGATAACACAAGCCCCAGCTGGCACAGAGACTGGGTCTAAAACTAAGGATCAGTTTCTAGTGAGGGCCTGAGTGCTCCATGGGGTCTCTGTGGCTAAAAGAAGCCCCCTGCCCTTTCATTTTTGAAGACAGATCTGTGTTCTCTGGACCGCTGCAGTGCACCTTGTCTGAAATCCAGCAGCACCAGTTCTACTAAGGGCCTATTATACTCAGACCAGGTGTGTGTGCATGTTCACGTGTTTGTTCTCTGGTAGAGAACTCCAGGGCTCTGTGTGTGTGCATGCGTGTGTGCGAATGAGCATCAAGCGCTTTTTCACTGGTGGAGACCTCCAGGGTTGTGTGTGTGTATGTGTGTGAATGTGTATCATGAGCTTGTTCTCTGGTAAAGAACTCCAGGGCTGTGTATGTGTGTGCATGTGTGTGCACATGTGCATCATGTGCTTGTTCTCTGGTGGAGAACTCCAGGGCTCTGTGTGTGTGGGTGTGTGTACATGTTGATCACACGCTTATTCTCTGGTGGAGAACTCCAGGGCTGTGTTTGCATGTGTGTGCATGCGTGTACACCACGTGCACGCTCTCTGGTGAAAAAATCCAGGGCTCTGTGTGTGTGTGTGTGCATGTGGATCATGTGCTTGTTCTCTGGTGGAGAACTCCAGGGCCGTGTGAGTGTGTGTGTGTGTGTGTGTGTGTGTGTGTGTGTGTGCGTGTGTGTGTGCATGTGCGTGTGTGTGGATCACGTGCTTGTTCTCTGGTAGAGAACACCATGTCTGTGTATGTGTGTGCATGTATGTGGATCATGCGCTTGTACCCTGGTGGAAAACTCCAGGGCTGTGTGTGTATGTGCATGCATGTGGATCATGTGCTTGATCTCTGGTGGAGAACTCCAGGGCTGTGTGTGCTCTCTGGAGGATAAATGTAGGGTGTGTGTATGTGTGTGTGTGTGCATGCATGTGAATCATGTGCTTATTCTCTTGTGGAGAACCCCAGGGCT